TAGGTGTCAGAAGAAATGTCCTCTAAGACTTAGACTACAGAAATAAAGTGGTCTAAATGCTAGCCTAAGCTGGCATATGGTGATCAAATTATTTCGTCTCTTATGCTCTCGGGGGCTAATTCTTATGACACCCTGAGGGTATGGTCTTCCCACTAGATCACCACTATGAGCTTTGGGCAATATATAAGTTCATGCAATGCCTATTGACCCTGAGTTGGCGTCTCATAACTGGCCAAGTAGCTGTTGATGGGCATGGCCATTAGTTGCCAATAGAGACAAGTATCGGTCCCTTCAGGAAATCCTAACCTCGATCAACGCCTCTTGAGCGTCGTTTCGGATAATGGCATAAGCAAGTGTTACCAATGAATCTGATCTCTTGGCCAATAGCCGGCTTATGGCTAACAGATCTGCAACTTATCACATCGGTTATTCACATGGTCGTGGCACGAATATATGCTTCAAATATCTCATTCTTTTCTTCGTTCCCGAACTTGTTCCTCTTCCTTCCCTCATCATTAACTGGAAGCAGCAGCCACTTGTCATAAGTTGGCACTGCTGTCGAATGTTCCCGCGTCGGACCCGTCATGATATAGTACATAACTGAAGATGTCTGTGAAGAATAATAAAAAATAGGGTTGAGCGAAAGAAATTGTGCCTCTTTGCGAGACATCCTGCAACCCGCTCCCTGGTCTGGGAGAGTAAAAAAAGATCAAATAACACAACTCGGGAGCCGCTGCGGTTCGCTGTTTTCTCACCGAGTCCCGGAAACGAACAGAAGTATGATGCGGGAAGCCGCATAAGCAAAAACAAAAGCAGACCAAAACTCTACCCTCATCTCCGACTTCTCCTCTTCAGCAACAAACTCAAGTAAAAATCGGGTATAACGCAAACAAGCCCCTTTTCCTGCAAAACCGTTCCCATTTCCGTAAACGCCTGTAAACTCAACATCTATCTCTATCTGCCACAATCACTCAGAAAGAGGACGGAAGAGAAACAAGAACGAAGTGCTCGACTCTCCGTACTATTCTATGACTCTGCTGGCCCATCTTTGCGATCCTCTGGTGGGTTTGGCGTAGGAGTTCGTCGTAATGGCTCGAGGTTAGGCTCTGCTAGTGAGTCCATGTTTTGCCCTCCTACCAAGCGTACGCTTCCTCGCTTGCCCCTGACAACTTGTCCTTTCTCAACTCGATCTTGCAGCATTTCGTCCAAAAGGCTGGTCATCTCATCATCACCCCGCGTTCGCCTCTTCTCAGGCTCCGCCAGCTTGACGCTAACGGGCATTTCGGTACGTTTCTCCTGCGCTGCAGGCTTCGGCGGCGGTGAAAGGGGAGAGCGAGCTTCAACAGTCGCTTCGGCTGTATCTCGTGATCGTGCGGCGCTTCTCAAAGCGGCTAACATCCTGTCCTTATCGTCCAGTCTCGCTCGTAGCTCCGCGATCTCGGTATCCTTTTCACGGAGCGCAGCAGATACACTATGATCCTCACCAACCATGATCCCTTTATTTGGAGCAGCAAAGCCAACCGATGCCCGACTGGAGCTGGCACGGCGTGCTTGAAGGAGACGCTTTTCTAATGTCGCAATGTAACGGTTCTTGTCAACAAGATCAGCTTGCAGGGCACGATTCTGTGCTGTCAAAGATGCAGTGCCGTCACCAAATTCTCCTGCACTGTCATCCTCGGTCTCAGGTCGCGCCTCGTCTCCGGAATTCTTGAGGCCGCCACTGGAGCGACGGCCAATCGTTGAAGATGCCGATGTCATGGACGCTGTCCGTTCCATGAGTGGCCTGGCACCTGAAGAAGTAGCAACCGACGAGCGGATTGACGCCGGCAACGAGATCTGCGAGAATTGGGAGAATCGCGAATATTGGCCGAGCGCGCTCATCGACCCGTTCGAGTTGACACCAATCGACTTAGAGCTAAGAATGAGACGGTTGAGATGATCGATTCGTTCCTTGAGTGCCGTTCGAGCAAGTTGCATCTCAAGAATCTGTTCTTCGTGTCGTTCTGCCGCCTCTGCTTCCCTAGCCTTCTCTTCCTCCTCGTTAAGAAGCGGCTCCTCGTCCACGTCACTCTTCTTCTTCTTCGCCTGGGTCTCCAGTTGTTGGCGCAGTTCTGTGATCTCCATGCGGTATCGCTCAAGCAGCACCCTAGCTCCACCTTCTCCGCCGGCACCAAGAGCCTCCTCGGCCTTCTTTGCATGGCTGACAAGGTTGTTCTTGGCTCTCGAAGCGAATTTGAGCGTGTTGATCGTTTCCAGAGTGTGGTTGTTGGCCAGAACAGCACTGTTTCCAGCTCCAATCTGAATCGTGCAAAGGATACTGACCAAAGAGTTTCCCGACAAAGCACCCTGCAACAGTCGAGTAAGTTTGCTATCACGATAAGGAAGATGTTTCCCTTCCTTGTCTCCACCCTTGGCTTCCTTGTCCTTCCATTCTGAAAGCTTCGAGATAACAGTTCCGAGAGTCAGCAAACTCTTGTTGATGTGAGCTCCTTCTTGTCTGCGCTCCTTCGACTCAGCTGCCTTTTCAGAACCAGCAAGATCGATCAGGCTCAGGGTTGATACCCGGACACCGCCAGGCAGAAGACCGGAACGTTTACCTTCGCCCGCAACGGGACCGCCTGGTATTCTCTCTCGAGACTCAACTACGATCTGAACAACAGCATGACTTCGCGAACTGCGGGAGTTGAACTGAGTACTGGCGGTTCTTCGAGCTTGGTCACCACGCGCAATGACACGAAGCAGTTGCGTAGGACTCTGCACAATCTCCTCCTTGAGCGGGGTAGCATAAACACCTCGCTTGCTATCCTCCCGAAGCTTAATCTCTTCCTGCTGCGGCGCTCCGCCCGATGTCGACATACTCAACAGATCATGGATCTTCTCGTTGTAGATTTCCAAATAGCTGACTCGCAGCAAGAACTCTCGCGAGGGTGTTTCACGAATGTAAGAAAAGATATCAGTAATGGCGAGCGGAATGACACCCGGTGACGAAGCGGTTCCCTGCATGGAAAACGTCTTTCCGGTACCGGTCATACCGTACGCAAAAACGGTGCCGTGGTAACCTTCCATAACTCGTCGGACGAGTCGTTTCGCAATGTGGTCGTATACTCTAGAGTTGTGGTCATGTGTCGTGAAAACGTTGTCTAAAAACGGTCAGTTCTGATCAAGCGTTCACCATATGAGACTACACACCATAATAATGATCTCCGCCATCCTTCCCTCTGAATGAAATGAGCGACTTGCGGCCGTCAACCATCCATTCTCCATCAGGGCTTCCATTGTTTCCATTAGCATCTGGCCGAACTCGTACGCTCACGACGATGTTCCCTTTGCCATCTTGTTTCGACATTCGCTTGTCGTTGGAAGCGTCGGGCTTCGAGGCTGGCCCTTCCGCAGGATCGTCGTACGTTGTAGCCGAGGTTGAATATGAATCCTGTGCTGAAGAACTGCGACTTTGAGGCGGTGATGCAATGCTGATTAAACCATCCGACATGCGAACGTTATTGATAGATTTTCCGTCTCCGCTACCGTTGAGAAAGCTTGGTGTACTGGAGCTGATCGTGCTGTACATTGATTCCTTCGTTGGTTTGGACGATTTCCTTGACAGTCTGGGCTTATCTGAAGTTCTTGGGCTAGGTGGCACACCGCTTGGTGTACGTGTGTCGCCTCTTGGTGGTTGTGGGAAAGAGTTGATGCTGACGCTTTTGCGGAGGGTCTTTCCTGCACCGTTGACGCCCGAGACAGCTTTCGGTTGCGGGAGTGCTGCTGTTGGTGCTGGACCAGGAGGGGCCAGACTCATTGTTGAGGGTGTTCGGAGGCCGGATCTGGGGGTTCCGGGTGCTGATTTGGTCGACGATGAATGTGTGGGGAGGTTTCCTTTGCTTTTGCGCGTCTTGTTTACTGGTAGAGCTGGCAAGGCCATATTAGGTGGTCCGACTGAAGGCCGGGATGGCCGCGGTAACGTTGTCGCCATCGTGGATCGGGTGGGTGTTTATAAAAAGAAAGAATAAGAGGTTGTAAGTGCTCGCAGGCTCGAAGTCGGTGGCCTGGTGCAAAGGCTTGTTAAACGTCCTGAAAGGTCGGTCGGTCCATCAACTTAAGTCCACCGCTTAGTCTAACAGATTTGATGGGCTCGCTCGATTAAATGTCTGTCACTCTGTAGAGTGTATGCAGGTCGACTGTAACATAAAAAGAAATTCTATCTCCAGTCGATTATGGTCCTTCGTAAGGGTGGCCTAGCTCGAGCGATCAAGGGAGGAATAAATCGATGGAACGCGTGAGGCTGCGCGGGATCGGATGTATGTCTCTGTCCAAAGTGCTATTGACTTGACTGTGTGGGCTGTGGATGGATTGTCAGTGACGTGCGGCAGGGCAACTGCAACAGTGGGTAATAGTGTAGAGATTCTAGCTCTAGCCAGCACAATGAGGGAAGAGTATCGATATCGATATCGAACAAAAGCAAATCCAATGAAAAGAACGGCAACCAGCAACGTACTCAGTCGTCGAATTGTTTGAAGGGAAAGGATTGTAGTCGAAAGGGGGGCGGCAGTTGGGAACGTTCCAAGTGACCTCTCCAAGTACTGTAGTAACGGAACAGGAGATGAGAAAGTGAACCCTTACCCTTGGGGAAAAGCAAACCGCAGCGAGCAAGGTCTCTCAACAAGGCTAAGGTTAGTGTACCTCGACTAGCGCGACGGATGGCCTTGGTCGAGCACGGTGACGATGTCGGCCCTCTGTCGTCCAGGATTCTAATAGACAGATCCAGACGAGGCTTTGCGAACGGGCTTGCTATGAACTGAAGATCTAAAGCCGAGCGTCGGTGAACTTTGAAGCCAGCAAGAAGCGAAAGCGAACGCTGGTATTGATGTTCGCAGCAAGGAAGAGTAACAAGGGCGAATTGAAGATCGGTTTCGGCAATGGTATGTACGACAGCTCCAGAGTGAGATTACCGCGCAAAGTACCGTCGGTATCGTCTTTTAGACTTTGCCGTGCCTAGTCTGGTGGTTGATGTGGGGAGAGAAAGAATGAATTGAGGGAACCTGGCGAGGCGAGTCGAGTCGTCGAGTCAAGTTGAGCTTGCTTGCTTGCAGTGATTGATTGAGTGAGTGGAGGGGAATGAATGGCTGGACAACTGGACTGGGATGGTGATTCTAATGCAGTCCCACTACAAGCGCAGAGTAGAGTAGCAACCGAAGCACAAGCACAAGCACAGGGACAGAGATAGAAAAAAGTGAGCGATACGAGTGGCGTGACGTGTTAGTCTAGAGGAAGATCAGGGACCAGGCGTCCAGAAAGGCAAGAAGCGACAGGGCGATAACCATAAGTTTAGAACGACCTTCTAATCATGGAAAATCACGCGTGGGTATAATCCAGATTGGAATTAAGAATCAAAATGAAGAGGACAAAAGAGGGATCCAGGAGTGACGAATGCGGTTGAAAGACGCGGACATTGGCCCCCAAAACCTGGAAACGGCCCGCTCAGAAGATGAAGTGCTGGGGAATTGTTAGAAAAGCTGGGGACCAATACGTTCCGGTTAGAGTACGTACAGCACTAGTGCGATGAGAAAACTCGAGTCTAGTGCATTCGTACAGCACCTGAGGAACTGTAACTGGAACTGTTCGTAAAGAAAGGCCCCAGACAGCCTTGAACTCGCTCTTCTGTTGGCCAAGACCTAAATCATCTGGTGTCTCCCCATGCCCCTTCATGCATCTAGATTGGATAGCAAGGCATCCCGGAGAATACAATGCAAGGGCCCTCGAAGAATAAGCAGGCCTGGGCGCCACTGCAGCGAAGACGGTAATTACGATATGCAAGCCTAGGTCGCTTCTTCGAGTAGCATTGGACGCTGTAACAGTCTACTGGGCCGGTATGCACGGTCGCCTATGATAATCCCAGTCTCTTTAGCCAACTTTAGTTTTGCAGAGGTTCAACCAGTCAGAGAGCCGTGTCTGGACGCTTGGGGATATCTTCCCCGGCTGGTCATTCATCCACCTTGACTGTTTAGGTTAGAACCAGAGAGCGAAAAAGAAAAATCACTTCCAACGTCAAACCAGCCGTTGCAATTGCATGAAGAAATATCAGGGATCACGGTTCAGTACTGTCACCCCTACAGCAAATGGATAATCATCCAATTGTTATATATGGACTCGGATTTTGAGCTTTTCTAACGTCCAGCTACTGCACCCTAAGCTCAACTGAGCCTCAGTCGCAGAAGAATGACTTGAGGATAGACTACGAAGTAGGCAAGAACAGCTAAACACTGCTTGTGGATCAAAAATCCTCCACAAGTTCGTCGGGTAACCGCGTCGTCGATCGCCCCTTCCCGTAATGTACCGTACAGGAGTTTTAAAATCATCCACTTCCCTTCATTGGGCTTTGTTGGTTCTGCTCTATTGGGAGGAAGGCACGCTACGGTACGGTACCTCAAAATTAGCTCCCGATGTCCGAGCAACCTCTAACAACTAAGGCAGGTACAGCACGACGGATCGTACCTGATTAAACTCATAGGAGCAGAATATGTCCAGCGCCATTCCGAGAAAGGTTTGTTTCGAACATCATCATTACATCTAAATTCATTAGTTCGGGCGGGAATCTGCACATCCGAACTCTATTGCCGCTCTCTCCCTTCTCTTTTATTTTATTGCTTCACAATCATGACCATGGCCACTCCTGTGTCGCTCTCAGGTTCCCTTGCGCCAGGGTGGATGACCCTTCGATCGGAACCTCAAGGTCAGCGGCCCGACTGTTAAGACAATGTTTCGTCCTCTCTTTGAGATCGATGTCTCTGATCCAACCTACTCCCCTGCCAACTCTCGAGGGTTCGGCGACCAATACGGCTAAGCCCAGTTTGCCTCCAGTAATCGCTCTCTCGCGACGAATCTTACTCCTTGTCAAAAGAGCTCTAAAACCGGTGGCTTCGATCCGTCACCACAAGCAACATGAATGCTTTCTTGGTACATATGAGATGTGGCAAAGACCCCCACCGATATTCTCTCACTCCTCCTCATTTTGGAGGATCTCCAGTATTTCAGACTAATTGCAGACCCTTATTGCTCATTAACGCCTGCTAGCAAGTCCCATTGTGAATGGAGCTTTGCCCACAAAAGATCTAATGATCCTCAAGTGCAGGCTTGGCAAAGTCATTGTACAGTAATTACCTGCATGCCCCTCTTGAGAGGACGAGACCCTTGAGCAGTGTATTGATTACTTGGCAATGCTTGCAAGGGAACTCCCCAACTCCCTTAACCGAAAATGCTCCGGGGGATCCTCCAAAAAGTTACAATTAATTCACATTCAACACGTCTTAACAGGCAATTTATCTCCATGCTAAATAGCCAACAGTTTCCTTTACAGCGAGCCCCTGTCAGCAAAGCGAAAGTCGTTTAAGGGAGTGGCTCTGATGCTACACTAGATCGCTGTCCTCCCAAACATCAACTTCATTGAGATGGTATTATTTCCGGGTCATTTTCAAAGATCAACGTCGTTCGAGGTTGAGCGGTCGTTGTCAAAGCGGCAAGGATTTTCAGCTTTTATCTCGTCGGTTCAAAGCCGATCAATGGTTCTAATGTACCCGCATATCATTGGTCTGGAGTGCGAAAATCTATGGGTGCAATTTTAACAACCCCCCTGACGAAGTCACCAACACTCTGACCAACCTACCAACCTAACAACGCGGCTTATCGATGGCTTTTGAATCTTCAATCTGGCTCGTGCCCCTTTCACTGAGACGGCCCCAGCTCTCCACCTACAGCACATGGCGGGCTTGGGCCAGACCCAGTCCTGTGGTCTCGTTGGCTTAAGAATTTCAACTTGCTTAGACGGTAGCAGTAAGCAATTTCTAGCTGCACGTGGTTATCACACTGACGTTGTGTTTCAGTGATGTTAGTGGTGAATGCAAGGACTTTCTTGATCAATTAGACAAGGTGCTGATATTTGGCTAGTATTAAGCGGAATAAAAAGGTGCTTGGTTGCAAGGGTTTCCATCACTTCATATTTGCCCCGATGTGACAGCCCTGTCCATGGTTTTCGGGTTCCACTGCCAACGGTTCTAACTTCTTTGACGGGCATTACGCCGTCCTCGAGGATCACTCATTTAGATCTCATCTCGCTCTTGACTTCATGGAAGTTCCCTCCGCCTATCACAAATCTCAACGGCTCGTGGGTCATCACTTGAATTATCGGATTGCTTTGCCTATACGACCAGTGATCCACGACTTCTTCAGAGATCATGCCGCCGGCATAAGGTTCTTCGATAAATGGGAATAGCGATTTGTTACCTGGATCATTGGGGTTCGACAAGCGATATTGCGTTAATAAGAAAATATTCGACGCTGAAAGAGTGCTGTGTCGAGACAGGCTCGGCCGAGTACATGGCCACACCCAACTCGGAACTGCTGCTACGCCCAGATACATGCCAGTCTCGAATGACTACATCAGTGTCACCAGTACTGTTACTCGGATCAAACTATACAGCTTCCTTCTTATCCATTTGTGGTTCGAGGTCAACCTGATCTCGTCTAACCCACCACACCTTACCTTTCATGCCTAATCTGATCCAGGCGTGAAACCCTGGTTCGGATCGAATGTTTGTTTGTTGATAGCAACCCAGCTTGAAACCTCATGGTTGTTGAGCAACTGCTACATGGCATTATCAACTTTGCCAATACTCCGAAACAGGCTACGAGACACCAAAACACTTGTTGTGCTGATGAGTGTCTCACTGTGTTCGAAGCACAAGCTCAGCATGCCTTGCGCGAGTCTGGATTTACCAACGCAGGCATTGTATGACAATTGTCGGCTGTCAACTGTCATAATCATGGGCATATCGGCTATTTGTTGAAATTGACAGTGGCCAACTCGAATGAAGATTTCCAGATGGAGGGTCACATCGCTTCAGCGATCAGGGGAGACAGGCTTGTTATTCGTTCTGCTCAACAATCACACCTTAGGACCCCAAGAGCAAACACGCAAGCCACCACTATTGATCCAGCAATACCCTTGCGTTCACATAGGTAGGAAGTATCACAAATCTGACTTTCATGCTTGTTAAGCATCCCAATCACCTCAATCACAATTTAGTCACGGCCGTCACATCTAGAATACGCCTCTTCCGCCCCAGCTGAAAGAATGTCTCACTGTGTAAGATACGCACTGATGCATGGAGACTCGGTAAGCGATGTATAATGCTATCGTTTTATCATATCATAATGCCAAGGTCAATTATCAGTCCGATTTATGATATACCACAAGCCCCTATTATCGCATGAGATATCATTCATCGTGGACCCGATTGTAATTGGGTTAATCGACTGAAATCGACTGAAATCGACTGAAATCGACTGAAATCGAAATCTGACTTTGCTACCAGAACCTACAGTGTTGATGGGCAGGCTGTTTTAACCAACCTGGGGATACACATGGATTCGAGACAAATCTTGTAGTTGTCAACTCAACTTGAATAAAGTGTTCGAAACATAAACTTGCTTTGTAGTAGCACCATGGTCTCATACACCACGATATCAATGCCGTGCGATATATGCACCGGAGTCATTCGTCTCAACCACCCAATGCCCTCACTCCCCTTCCTACGCTTCCCGTCTCAAAAACTTCCACGACGCCCAACCCAACTGCTTCTCCCAAGACCCACGACCATTCGACTCCCCAGAACTCTTTCCACCTCGGCCCATACAAGCCTCCTCCCTCGAACCGCTCCTTCAGCCAGCTCTCTGGGCCTTCACCCCAGCGTGTTCGCCGTAGTGCATCTCGTACCCAGTCTACAGTAGCAGTAGCCAGTTTGAGATGTCGACCGTGGCCCGGCACCGCGATACGGAGACCGGATGGTGTGGAAGATGACCGTGTAAGTGTCGGGGCGCCGCCACCGCCGCCGGCGAGATGGATTGCATTACGGCCACCGACGGCAGAGACTGTACCGGAGGCAAAGCGTGAAACATGGTAAATTGACGTCAGAGTTGTTCGATCCTCGGGCCGTATGTCAAGAGTGCTCCCTGGCGTTGATGGCGTAGAACTTGTAAGAAACCCCATTCGAATGAGCTCATCGGTTTGCTTGCTTTCCAAGGCATCCTTGTAGAGTATTTGTGTAGCTGGATTCTCTTTCAGGAAAGCCTTGAAGGAGCTCCTTGTGTCCTCGGTTATAGATGCCTTGTTAAGCATATCGTCATAGTCAGACGTCTCTATCAACGCTTCACCTCCACCACCACGCCTCTCAACTCTCACTCTCCGCACTATACCCTTCATCACCAACTCTGCAAGTTCACGTTCCACCTTTCCCGGAGACCGCAGTATCGCATTGAGATGTCCAACTGTAACAAGCGGTGCTGTTGCAGCGCGGTAGTTGAGCACTTCCGTCGTCCTGGTAGAGTTGAAACCTGTTCGTGGCACGGGACTGAACATCCGCGCTCGGATGTATCGCATAGCTTGAACGACATCCCTGAGTGTGAGATCTTCTTCTAAAACTTTTGCCAAACCTAGATCGTCGAGTTTGTCTTGAAATAGGTCTGCTTCTTGGTCCTTTGGTTTGCGGGCTGGTCTTTTTGGTGTTGAGTTTGAGCATTTGCGAGATGGTGGTGATGATCTCATAGGCTTGGTGACCCGACCTGATTTACCAAGTATAGATCTGATAGTCTGCGGCATGATGGATAGCTGTGAGGTTTTGATGGTTTGCAGTTTGTGAGTTACTGGTCAAATTTGTCCCATCGAGTGTCGTCGTACGCCCTTCAGTTCGGTGGCGAACCAGTGGAGAAAATCACAGTTTGTTGTTTGGCTATTATTCCCGAACCTTCAGCTTAACGGGAAAGTTTAAGGGACTTGTAGAAGGCGAAAGACTACCCTTAAGAGAAACACTTGATAACACAATAGAAGTTTGATGAGGTAGGTGAAGATGATGACCCAACAGTGTCTTGGACAGAACTACCCTGGATACTCGTACGGGCTGACTAACATCTGCTCCAATGGTAATATCGCTGCTGCCTTCTTCAAGTCTGCAACATTCAATCGTCGAAAATCAACAAAAGATGCAACAAATAGTTCCAATAAAATATTAATTATTGTAGGATTGATCCAATGTCTAGTTTAGCCAGCTGTCGTCAGTATGTAAGAAGTAATGGCACTCATTCTCTCGCTTGTAAGCTTCAGTGATATCTTGAGCAACTCTCTTCCAATCTCCGGCTCCTTCTTCTGGATCCTCGCCCACTGGTCACGATCCATCAACCAGACTACACAATCTCTTTCCACTACGGCCGTCGCAGTTCGATCAGTCTCGGAGAAGAAGGGCAGTTCACCAAGTGTCGTTCCAGCAACGATACTCTCGCACAGCCACCCCTGAGGAAGATCATACTCAGCACGCACAATACCACGTTCCAAAAGGTAAAATCCGTTGGCCTGCTCACCACGCCTAAAGAGAACAGTGCCAGCTGGAACCTCACGCCGCGAGAAGTAAGAAGTCGCGGGAAACCAAAAATCCTCGTTCTTGTCACTTAGGTCTTGGAAAACCTGGAGCATGAGACGAAGTGGCTCCTTGAAGCTCTGCCACTTCTTCGGCCGTTGTACCTCGACGCTGCTCAGAGCATCCCGAGCGGCCTCAGCGAGGTGGTTGCGACGCGGAGAGTTGAAAGGCGGATCGAACGACGAGAAGCCAGATGACTTGTTTGAAGGGACATCCAGGTTCTGTGCTGACTGTGCCGATATACGTCTTAAAGTGTTGATCTCTTCTTGTCGGGCGTAAAGAGTCTTGAGTAATTCGTTCTCACAGCTCTCGAGGGCAGAGTTGAGGTTGGGCAACATCATGACTTCGATGCCATCGTTGCCAAGTCCAACGGCTCTCAGGTTACGGCCAAGTTGAGTTTCTGAGTCGACACCGCTCAAGACAAGAACCACATCCTTGTTGTCCAGTAACCGGCTGATGGTATTGAAAGCCTCGCCCGCAGAGTAGTCGAGTCCTGTGACATGCCACATGTCGAGAATAAGAAATTTGATAGGTTGTTTGGTGAATGCGCTGTCCTCGAGAAGCGCTCGAATCCTTTCTTCCACACTGACGATGGTGCCGAAGAAAAGGTAGCCTGTGAGCTTGGCGATGTAGATCTGTCGACCGACCTCGTGCAAGTAACGCTGTTGAGAAGGGTTACGTCTAACAGTGGACGTGACGATATCGCCAGAGTAATTTCCTCTAATGGCAGAGACACGAGATGTCTGCAAGATCAACGACACAAAAGCCAACAAGATACCGACTCCGATACCAACAACAAAATCGTGAATGCCCATTACGAGGACAATCACAACAACAGTCAGGTATTCGGCCAGCTTAAGTTTCTTACGTGGAAGCCATAGGGCCTCAAGCAGTAGCTCGAAACCAAGATCATAAATCAGAGTGCCAACCATCATGACGGGGATAAATCCAATCAGAGATGGTCCAATGATCATGACACCGAACGTGGCCGCGGCCAACATGTAACCTGCGAGGCGACTATTTCCTCCAGATCGCATAAAGAAGACGGTGTTTGCATAGACGAGGTAATTTTGAATACTGCCAAAACAGCCAGATAAGAGGTTAGAGTACCCGTGAAGCCTCAACTCCTTGTCAAGGTCGGCATGATCTTCGCCACTATTAAGGGCCAAGGCAGGGACGTTGATAGGGACATGGAGGATGCCGAAGAAGGTCAAAGCAAGCATAGCAGGCACGCATTCGATAACCGCATCCCATCGGACAAGGTGGAACTCTACACATAGTTAGCCAGGTGAAGTGAAAAGCCACTTAGTATGCACTTACTGTAGAGGGTATAGAAATACCACCATGGCTCCCCAGAAGGAGGACCTTCGAAGATCCAGCCATGGTCACGTAGTGTATCAACATCTAGTGTGTCCAGGGCAAGTACAAAGAAATAGAAAATCAGAGGGATCGCTAGGATAAATAATGGAAGGAAGAACTTGGAAGGAATCTTGGACTGGCCGTAAAAGAGGATGATGGCAAGAACCAAGGGAACGACCCAGAGAGGCACGGTGGCCGGGTCAGAAAGCTGCTTTAGAGTGTCAAGGTTGTACTGTAGACTACCGTCAAGTCGAGCAGAAACCTCGAAGCCGGTAGCTATCAGGAACCAACCTACACCTCCAATGCAGCCAATAAGGATATGTCTGGGAATGAACCCGACCATGTAACCAACTTTGAATCGACCCATGAGATAGAATACCAGTCCCGTCATCATGGCGCTGACGGAGAATGACACAATAGTAGTGGCAATCACGGCATCGGGGTTTTCTTCCCCAACAACTTCAGTGATCTTTCCTGCCATGTTATGAAAGAAAGGTACAACCTCGATCTAATGCGAGTTAGAAGATATTAGTTTGAAGAGAAAGGGGGGCAACTGACCAGCTCAGAACCAACTGCACCCTTGAAAATACTGCCAGATGAAAAGGTGATTTGCGAAACAATAGTGCTAACATAAAAGACAGAAATTCCGGCAGATCCAAGGTGGGAGAAGATTGGTTTTCCTAATGGGAAAAGAATCATTCCTGTAACTGTTAGTTATCTTGTAAAGTCAAAAACACGTGGAAAACATACCATATGATAGAGCATCCAGAATATTGAGCAGTAGACCAACAGCAACAGCCGGAAGGCATGAGGTCGGAGTAAGAACTACATTCTTCCAAAGCGCCTGGCGATCCCACTTCTTGGGATTGATAGCAACCGACATCCTCTCTTCCATCCTGTGGCCGACTTCCAGGAAACCATTGAACCATGAGCTCTTCGCCTGAGACTTCTGTCCCTCGAGATCGGAGTAAGATCGTCGGCCGTTTGAAGTTATCCGTGTAAGCAGAGGCGTCTGCTCTGTCGCATCCTCCGCGTGGCTAATTCGGCGCTGTTCCTGCTCCGCTTGGTGATCGTCGACATGATCGTCTTCATGCTCAACACTTGGCTGATCTGGTGCGATCGATTGGGGAGGGGATCGTTTGAGAAGGTTGGCCAGTACTGACGGTCCTGCATCCTCATCGAGATCATCTTCTTGGCCATCTGGTGACGGTGGTTCGGGAACTTCGAGGATTGTTTTCGAGGAACGGGGGTTCTCAGCTGTAGACGAGTCGTCGATAACCTCTGAGTCGATCGAATCCTGGTACGAGACTCTTGCTCGCTGGATGACGGAAGAGTTTTGCTGTGTCTTGGGGTCGGAAAGCAAGTAAGTCGCAAGCTCAGCAGTGTCCTGGCGGACGGATCGAGCGTTCTGAATGCTATCCATAGGTGCTACAAAGACATTAGAATAAACCGGAACGGTTGAACAGACGAATGTTCAAGTGTAACATACCTAAATTATCTCGCATAGAACCATGGATGAAAGACCTAATAGGCTCTCTGTGGCCGGCAGCAGAGCTAATTGAGGCCGGCCTTACAATTGGAAGATGAGGACTATGGCCATGATGAGGAGGCGAGGTTGAAGGTTCGTCGTGCGGCAATTGGGCTTGTTCGTTGTCCCGTTGCGAAGCAGCACTCAAAGCTCTCCTCCTCCAAGGCGTAAAGTTAAGCGGCGACGACATTTTGAAGGGAATTGGGACGGCCGCAAAGGCACCTTGCAGCTCGTTCTAGGTGTGTCGCATGAGCCAAGGTTGGTGATACCCTTTGTGTACTTGGATCTGTGTTGCTCTTCCAGGGTCCAAAGAATGAAGAGTATTCAAACAATAGTGAACGAGACAAGAAACATTCCAAGTGAAGCTTTCACGATGAAGAGAGATGAAGAGGAATTCGTGGGGAATGGACGAATGTCAAGCAATCAATCGATCAGTTGCGACGCACTCAACTCAAGGACTGGGGTGATGAAAGCGAGGTGGGTCGTCTCATGACACTATCAAACTTAGGCTCAGCACCTATCCACATCCACATCCACATGCCCTGGAACCTGGCAGCTCAGCACTGTCCACTGTCCAGTAGGTCCTCTAGGCTAGTAGGTTGTCAACCGGCAACGAAACATGAACACGGGCAAAAGTTAATTTTACAGTACGGTCATCGTCTTGTTAGGCGCCTACCTATATATCCCAATGTCCCTAATAATAATAATTCTTGATTTTGCTGCCATAGCAGTAATCATATCGTCAAACGGCGTAGAATCTTTTCATGATCCTGGAATCCTTGTCATGAGCCGGGCTCGGCATGAACGCCGCATTGCCTGCAGCTGCAGAACAATTTTTTTCCTCTTCCTCATCTCTTTCCTCCCGGGCTCTCTTACTTTTTTTTCTCGCTGCTTTTAGGCGACAAGACCCGCTAAGACTGACCTAGAATCCACTAACAACCGCCACCACCAACAAAACAGTGTCAAACTTGGTTGCAACGGCCGCCGAGTCTGGCCGGACGGGCCGAGTGGGTTAGCGCAGGGGGCATGATAATGATAATGGCTGAGTTGAGAAGTGATAAGATGCCAATTGTTAGGTAAATCAGGATTCATTGCTTTATGTAAATCCGGTTCGGCTAAGATCATCCATCTATCAACAGCAGAGTCTATCTATGCTAGAATGGAGACCGCGTATGCGGGGACGTTGAGATTCCCGCTGTCTGTTGCCGATCTTATGATGGAACTAATTTCTGATACTGAGCTCTACTAAGGCTGGACTGCACCGACCATGAAGCGGCATGCCATTATTAACTGGCTCCTTGAACCTGTCTCTTGTGCTGCCTAGCCAATTTTTCTGTTGTCCTGAGGATTACGCAGACCAATTTCACATGCTATCCCTTCTTCTAGGGCTGAACTTTATTCTATTTCGGGTGGGAATGTTTGTTATGGCCTCTTCTCCTCACAATATCCATGAGACGATGATGATGTTTGATGAACTCTCTGGTTCCACCACTACTACAACCACATTGAGGGGAATCCCCTTCCTGAGGGTTGCATTTGAGGCGAACGGGATACTCCATAGAGCTCGAAGATATTTCTCTACTTACAGCTTACACACTGCATTGACTAAATGTGTAAAGCACTCCTGTGTCAAGTCATATGGAAAGTTCATATCAATATGGTAGAGATTCAACATGTAATCGTATAGATACTCCACTAGTAGGGTATAATAACATAATAGTCATGACCATCTGGACCATTTAGCCCATCAAAGAACAAAGCCCTCTAATTAAGCTTATGTAAATATCCTTGTGCAATAAGTCTTTCGACGTCTCCTTGGCGAACATAAAACTGACTGTTCTTAGTCAAAGTGATGGCCCTAAACCAGTCAGCTCAACATCACTACCCAAGCGTTATCATGCGACTCACCCGTATTCTGTTTGAATTTCTCCAGCATCTTTGAGCACTCGCACATCAATGAACAGGTCTCGCGGTGGCTCCAGGCTACCTGTAAGATCAATATCCGTCCATTGACCCTTGTACGCTGCCAAAAGGTCGCTGTATTGTCTAAAGTACTCCTCCTCTTGAGGACTCAGACTACTTTTCGAAGCATCGCTGGCTCCTGTGCTAGAGGCACCCGCATCTCGTACTTGCTGGCCGGACAGATCACTCACGTCTGTTCCGTTCCATACCAGCTCCTCCAGCTTGTCCGTCCGCGTCCGGTGATAGGCAAGCAGACACCTTTTGTTCCTTCGCATAGATAGATGGTTTACGAGGAGCGTGCAGGCAACGGCCTGGTCGGCGCTGGGGTCGAAGGAACCTTGGAAAGGTTCGAGAAGTTCCCCAACATCTTTATCCAGATCTCTCACTTCTCGGGTCACGGCTCTGACTATTTCGGTTTGGTAGGGTGGTAGATGGGCCAAGTTCTGCGTCCTTTTGGCATGTTGGACCTGGTATCAAGAGTCAGAGCTGGCTTGCGGTACGGTGCTTTCGAAGGGAAGAGTACCAGCTTGTTGCCCAGGTCTCCGTACATGGTGCAGCTGGTCCAGTTTGTGTGCGATCAAGATTTCGAGCTTTGTATCTGCATATCCCGACTATTATGGATTGATAAGAAAAAGAAGGTTTGTATAGTATTCTGAGAATGGCGGTCTAGGTTAGTAGTTACGTTCAAAGCAATGACATCTTCATTTTAGTGGTAGCATCAAAAATACAAATGATGTCGCGTTGTCTGGGATCAGCTTGACCGCGACTAGTGTGCTCCATTAACGCGCCAAGTCGGGCTTCGACTACCCCGCCATCATATGGCCTAGAACGATATGTCCACTTAACTGCATCTTTTGACGATGTGCCCCTCCTCGTAAACATTCGAGGCCTAAAAATTAATGATGGTGGCGGGGTAAGAATTTTCTACCTCAGACTGCCACGTTGAGGTCCGAGATTGATGATTGGCTTCACAAAGGATTACAGCAAACTTATATTTGCACTAAATCATTTTTGTTTTTATTTTCATCATCTATGTTTGGTACGAAGGGGTAGGATTCATGACTTTTCCACCTTTACGTAGTTCATTTGAAAATCATAAAATCCCGTTGGTCATCAATCCTCGCCGTCGTGCCTCATCATAAGTTGACATAACTGAATGCAAGCTTCTTACAGCTTCTGCATGGCAGCAACGTCGGTGGACTGGACGTAGTCCTCGAGCTCCTGGATCTCCTCCTCGAGGTCGGCGACGGAGATCTTCTCGTCCTCGACAACCATGTTGATCTGGAGCTTCTTGACACCGAAACCCACGGGGACGAGCTTGGAGGCACCCCAGACGAGACCGTCCTTCTCAATAGCACGGACAGCCTTCTCGAGCTCAACCATGTCGGTCTCATCATCTGGAAATGGTTAGCATAAAGGGACTTCAAATTTAGTAGAGAAAAACTTACCCCAAGGCTTGACGTCAAGGGTGACGACGGACTTGGCAATGGTCTTGGGCTTAGCCTCCTTCTTCTTGCGGTACTCAGCAAGACGCTCCTCGCGGACGCGGGCGGCCTCAGTGTCCTCCTCGTCGTCGCTGCCAAACAGGTCGACATCGTCATCATCCTCGGCCTCAGCCTTCTCAGGGGCCTGAGCGGGGTTGATGGTCACCTCAGCGGTCTCAGGACCGTAGGTGGTGTAGGGAGCAGAAGCATCACCGGGGAGGGTGGCGAACTGGCTCTCGTAGCTGGCGATGTGCTTGTACCATCGGGCGGCGTGGGGGTACTTCTCGGCGTCAGGGGAGCCAGAGAGGGCCTTGAAGGTAGCGACATCAGCCTGAGAGGCAGATTGGCTGAGACTGATGTTAGCACATAGTCTTGACTTGTAGGTCGAGGTAAAAATGATGTGTATGAAAACGACTCAGAGTTGCACAAGTGCTTGTTGCTTCATCAAACAGCGGGTCTTAATCGCCTCTGAAACACGGACCAATTTGTCTCATCACAGAAGTTTTGCGTCGAAGGGAGATGTGAAGGAATCTTGGGGGAGAGAATACATACCCAACAATGTAAGAGCGGGTGCTCAACCAGTTGTTGAGCACTGAGTTCAGTTGTCAGTGTCCATGGCGCGGAAACTAGAGGCGCAAAAATAGCAGGCCGGGGACATACCGGAAGCGCCAGCATCGGTAAGGAGGTCGGTGAAGCCCATTTTGAAGGATGTGAAGATTTGAGTCGGAAAAAGGAAGAGAGAGGTCGGGTATTTGTAGAGCTGAGAAAGTTGCGAGAAAGAAATTGGGTTGTCTGGTCGATGTCCAAGGTGGGGTTTATGAGATTTTTCACCTAATTTGCTTTGACTGGGTCACTCTCAACCCTGCAACCTGAGGGGCGGAACGGACCAGGTAGCGGATTAATTCTCTCCGCAGACCGACCTGAAAGCGTCATGGGTTAAAGTCTAGGTGGGTCTAGAGCTATGCTAGGTAACTGCCAGACTACATACCACAGCTTGACGACGTAAGAGCTTCTGCAGCCTTGTCAACCAAAATCGCCTTTTTAACACTTTTTACAGTTTCCTTCAACATACCCGACCACGGCCCTCTTCTAGCTTTGTCAATTAACAAATAACGATCATGCCAATCTCACCGATCATCACATTTAAGGCCGGCCAGTGCGAGGTCGATGTACGACAGCTCACCCGCGCTTCGAGATCCTAGTAGCACCCACTAACTTGACTCTCCAGACCTCCTCTAAGCCTTACAAGGTGAAGCCTCAGCCTGAGCCAGGCTACATCTACCTATACTCCGAAGATGGTGAGATTTTGACTTTCTCGGTGTTGTTGGTACCTCAACTAATGTTCAAGCAGATCTCGTGCATTTCTGCTGGCGCAAGCGCAGCTCGCCCGTTGACGACCCCGAGGTGGACCTTATCATGGTCCCTACCGATGGCAGCTTCACTCCCTACGAATCCACAACATCTTCTGAACCCACCTCCAAGACCGATGGCCGTATCTTTGTCCTGAAGTTCTCTTCGTCTTCCCAACGACACATCTTCTGGCTACAGTCGAAGCCACAGAGCGAGAATGGAGACCCAGCCTACTACAGTCCCCGTGATCGCAAGATCGGCGACATCGTCCATCGCCTGCTACAGGGCGAGGAAGTCGATGTGTCTGAGGAGATGTCCACTGTTCGCAACAACGACCACGACGATGATGAGGATGAGACTATGGAGGACGCCGAGAACCAGCGCCCCCAGGGACACCGAGGCAGCGGAGGTGCGGGACCTGATGCTACAGGAGGAGATGTTCGAGAGGAGGGCGAGGGCTCGCGAGAGGGAGGAGCTGATGGTGCTAGAGCGTAGGTGATTCCCTTTGCGTGGTTGAACAGAACGGCGTGCGTGCATACATATGATGGAATTGGCATTTAGACCTTTGTCGGGACAGCAGGTTAAACTGTGTAAAGCTAGCTTTCTTCACTACGAGAGAAGAATTGGGAACTAGTGTCCTAGCGCTGGATCTATGGCATCAACTTTGAAATGTGACAGCGCTGACATGGTTTCAGGGTCTCTTCCTCAGCCCCTGATGCTGATGCCGCTGCTGCTGTGAGGAACTTCCTGGATTCTCTCCGAGGTCAATCAGGCCCCTCTGGCGGGCAGCAGCAGCAACAACAAGGTGCTGACAAGGCGTACCCGTACCTCAACCACCTACTCCCGACCTCTATCACGGTACCCATGATCGAGTCAGCCCCTGAAGAGTTTGCCGACACATTAATCAGCTTCCTTCCACCTACTGTTGTCGTCCTTGCAAGTGGTTCATCAGATGCTGTCGACGGCAAGTCCGACCCACCGACAGCGACTGTGGAAGCTGCTAAGGCCTCCCTATCTCTTGACGACAAGCGAACGTTATTGAAGAAGGTCATGCGAAGCCCTCAGTTCAACCAGGCCCTGGCAAGTCTAACGATGGCTATTCGTGATGGTGGTCTGCCTAGCATTGCCGATGCTCTTGGAGTCAAGGTCCAGGATGGTGGATATCTACGAGGAAGTGGCATGCCTATGGGTGGTGGTCAGGCTGTCGAGGCATTCGTGAACGGTGTGAAGAAGACTGTTGAGGAGGAGAAGAAATGAATTAGGTGAACCCTTGTTCCTGAAGCATCTACCATGGCGTTGTCTCTTATTACATTATCCAGATAAAGGTTGATGCTCACAAACGTTGGCGTTTTGCGGTTGAAGACTGGGGGCTTTTCATTGCGGAGATTCCAGATATATAATAGACTCATCAAACTATTCGTTAGTATTTCCTTTCTGTGAGCACTGTAATTGGATATATCAATATCTCTTGGGAATAAAGTTGTACGAGTCCTTGGTGGGGCTGTACAGAGCACGGCAGATTGTTAGGTGCCTAGGCGCCCCACGAGTCAGGACCCGGAAGGGATGCATACTGACGTACCGCGGCGCGCCTCGAAGCTACCATAACTTTAGTTCGTTAACAACCAAAATCTGAGCTTCAGCCTCGATATCCAGTCGCATTGCCATCTGGACTCATATTTGATTTACCCGGGCGCCTAATAATTCTCACAATGAGCCTGCCGTTCCCTACAGACCCTCGCGAATTCGATAGCGATGATCGCATTTCATTTTCCAAGCTCGACAAGAAGTTCATTGCGGTTCATGACGATGGCAACGAGTACGAATTTGACGCCGACAACAAGCAATGGGTTCTTGCAGACGAAGAGCCATTGGAGCCCCCAGTAACTGATGCGTACGACGATTTTGCCCAGTTTGCAGCGAATGAGGCTGCAGATGATAGTTCAAGAAAGCGCAAAAATGGATCGGGTCAGGATTCCGAGGTATGTTCGCATCATCACTTCATCGAGGCAGTCTCGATGCGTATTGGCCAATGAACCTCAAACTGATTCTCTGAGCAGACTCCCGAACCAGGCAAGCCTTCGCGACCAAACAAGAAGCAAAAAGCACCCCCACAACCCAGGCAGAACACAGCTGTCTACGTTACTGGTTTACCAGCGGATACAACTGTCCAGGAAGTCCACGATCTTTTCTCGCGAAAATGCGGTGTTATTGCGGAAGAAATCGATAGCGGCGCACCACGAATCAAGCTTTACAATGACGAGGGCGGCAACTTCAAGGGCGATGCTCTGATCGTTTTCTTCAAGCCTCAGAGCGTCGAGATGGCCATTATGCTCCTTGACGATACAGACTTCAGGATCACTGCAAGTGGAGCAAGCGAAGGACGGATGAAAGTTCAAGCTGCCGATTCAAGTTACAAGAAGGTGAAATATGACCAAGAAGGTGGTGGCGAGGAGCAGAAGAGCAATGGCGCAACTGAGCGCAAGCCACAGAACAACAATCGCGACAGGCAAAAGATCATCAAGAAAACCCAGAAATTGAATGCGAAGCTGACTGACTGGGATGACGATCTGCCATACTCGGGACAGCCGGAGGCAGCGACCAAGTGGGATAAGCTCGTGATTCTTTCGCACATGTTTACGTTGGAAGAGCTTGAGGAGGACCCTGCTGCTCTACTGGAAATCAAGGAGGACATCCGAGAAGAGTGCGCCAAGCTGGGAACAGTGACAAATGTTGTACTGTTCGACCAAGAACCTGAGGGTATAGTCTCGGTCAAGTTCAAGGACGCAGAATCAGCCCTCGCATGCATCAATCTTATGCACGGAAGAAGATTTGACGGTCGAACGGTGGAGGCTTTCCTGGCATCAGGGAAGGAGAAGTTTAAGAAATCAAAGGATGAGGATGCTCATGGAGACTCGGATTAGAAGCGACCATTTCTCTATACAATTGGAAGACGAGTCTTGATTAGAATGTAAGATACCCATAACCCGAATATAGACAAAACTTCCCAAGCAATGCGTTCAATTCTCACAAAAGGAGCATTGTCATTCTTTTCGTTCGCCTAACTCGAATTAGATTTACATGGGTTTGGGGGAGATGCCCATTTCAATTTCTTCAGCGACTGTATACCAGATAGCGGCCTCAATGATGTTGCAGACGACCTGTAACTCTTCGTCATCTAATTTGGTTATGTTAGTCATTCTTTGCATAAATTCGGTTATATATTGGTTGCCTGAAAGCAAATCTCACCTCGTGGGGCGTAGACCATGAGAAAGTCTGGAGAGACTGGACTCTTAATGAACCGGCCAGTCCATGCCAGGGGATGTCTTTGGCCCCAGCCTTTTTGCAACACCTCTTTGATGTCATCAGGGTGTAGACCCATGTGCAGCGAGTGATCTGAGTCATGAACATGACAAATCTCACCCTGGCAGTTTGTCTGTACTGGATGTCTGGCGAATAATGCTAAGCCATGTTTCTCAATGCATGACTTCTCGGTGCCAAACTTCTTGGGGTTACGGTTTGCTATCTTTGCCATGGACCAGCGGAGAGATCGGTAACATTCTTGAGAACCATGTTGGTCAAGCTGTCTTTGGGGAGCAATTCCAGCAACAACAGGGCGAGGACCTGCGCGGTATGGGAGACGTTGGCGACGGAGAATACCTGATGTTGGGAGGCGCTGGGGATCAGGTTCTGGTGCTGCGTATGGGTCTCTCAGGGCCCAAAGACGAAACCATGATATACGAAGGTAGCCGGCAAAGGTTGATGGCGTACCACCAGGGCCCAGGTTGAGGAAGTTCACGTAGTCGTTGTGAACTAACAATACTATGGGAACAAGAGCAACAAGAACCTGAGCATGGTAGGCGTCGAGGAAATGAATAAGGAGGATAAGGGCAATTGAAGACAAGAATATGTTTTGGCCATCGAGAGTAACCGAGATGGGTTGTTGGCGAAGGACGTATGAAGCCTTGAGAGATTCCAACTCAGCCTCTCCTTGAAGATGAGGAGGAGGAGAAGCTAGAGTCTCTGCGGAAGTGATTGCAACGGATGACATTTTCAGGAACAAGACATTGAATGTTTACTTTGCGATTGAGTATAATAAATGCCGAACTTGTCAAGACAAAGTCTGCAACCACAATGACAATGTTGCCTGCAGTGTGGTTGGTAGAATATGTGGGGGTCTAAGGAAGCCGTGTAAGTGTGATGTGATACTGATGAGAGGGGAGCCCGAGGAGGTTCCTTCAGCTTTATAGAAGCATTGAGTGATCGACCTTGCCGACGCAAAACGGGGAATAAGACCAAGGTTCAGCTGATCTTTCGTATCATATGCGGAGAGACCAGAGGAGTCTGAGGAGAGAAGAGGGAGGCCAAGGATTGGAGACGGTGAAAGGGAGCGATAGGAGGGGATCGTCATATGTGCCTGTCCGTCCGGCAGCGTAAGTTAAGGTAGGCGAAGAGCTATCAACCAACCATTCTAAGCCCATAAGCAATTGGTGTTCCGGCACAGTTTCTTTGGCTCCTTGCTTGAAGTTTCGATGGACTCTCACACGTCGAAACAAGATGAAGACTGAGGCTTGACTTGTGAGAGCTATCCTTTTGATATCATACTGGAACATAACCCCATTAACAGAGCAAAATCTCTTCTTCAAGTGCAGTACATACAGTAACATGTGTCACGAGCTACAGAATAAGCCTTGATAGTGCACGGTTCTGTATGGCTGAGACATTGTAAGTTTAGTGAATTGATGCTGCAGCCCCCGCAAGGCATGACGTTGGATTGGAAGCTAGGTACTCGACAGCAGTCAATAAAATCAACGCTATTACTTCAGTGCCGTCTTACCTTTGTCAAAATTTCCTCCTTGGGCTCCATCCGCCGCTAATTGCAATAAGCCATGACATAGTTTGGATAGATTGTCGTTTCGTTAGCAGTAAAGCTTTAACCGTGTAAGCCAAGTTTGACAAGGCTACCCTGGACAAGATGAATTATGGGTGGTCAGCTGAATATCTAGACGCTATCTAAACGCCAACGTGCCTGGATTTCTACATATTAGCACGAATCCTTCGAGGAAACATGCCATGAGTTCTCGTAAATTTCTTGGTTTTTTTTTTTCGGATCCTTCAAATGATCTTTGGGTTATACTCCCCAATAGGTAGACTGCTTGGATCGACTCGCTAGCTACCTACCTAGGTAGGTAGCTAGACGAACTCGACAGCTCGTCTAACAAAGAGGTGGTGTTCACGACAGATAATGCAATAAAACAACAAAGAGGGAAAACTTCAGTCAGAAATCTCACCTCCAATATGATATCTTGGTCGCTTTCCTTCAGCGGCTATTGGTTGCTACGAATTAAGGCAAGCCCATCGATAGGTGACGTCGTATCTAAGCCCAAGCTCCACGTTGCTCAGCAACAACCGGATCCGTAACAAAACAAACCAGCGAATGATGGAGCTCGAATGATGGGTCAACCACCAACTAAGAGCGGTCTAAAGACTTGCATGGCGACCTCCTCCAGCACTTTTTCGCTCTTCATGACAACTTTTCTACACGAGTTTGATATCTTGTTCAGTTTAATTGTTTCCTTTTGTTGAGCGTTATCAATTCTATTCCAGCAATAAAGAGTACATATCATAAACTCGAGATACACTCCGTCCAGGGTCTCTACCCAGTGGTTAGTTGTGAGACCCAGAATTCCTATCATGGCTGCTAACATTACTCTCTCAGACATACAATCATAACCCATCATGGGTTTACTAAAGAACCCTCTTCGATCTAGCAAGCCGAAGCTCCCACTTTACCAAAAAGTGAACTCACCAACCAAAGAACGATATTCGGACGACGACTACTCTACTACCGATGATGAGAGTGACTATGAAGATGAACCTTACTCGCCCGAGAGCTCTTCGGCTGGCTCGTCAAGACATACATCTGGATCTGCAAACAGTGGACTCTTAATGCTTCCCAGCCACCAGAAGAAGCCTCTTCCTCTTCGACGGAGGATCGCTAAAGTCTACCCCTACCGAGTGCCAAACAAGGTCACACGTTGGCTGTTCTGCACAGTAATAACGTTCATCATTGTTATGGTTCTAAGTCTAGTCCGCGCCAGTCAAGTCGAGAACTGGAAGGTTGCCAATGGCAAGGTCGACAACAGACCGCCCCCACCGCCACCTGCATGGGAGAAGTTCCCTTTCCTGGAGAGATACTATGGTGGACTCAAGACCTTGGCCACTTTCGAGGAAGTCAAGCCCGAGTGGCCTCATGTCAAGAACGAGCCCGAGAGCAATGACTGGAACAAGCTGAACGAGATCAAGGGCGGCAAGGAAGGCGACAAGGATAAGGACAGTGAGGAGACCGACAAGGCCACTACTGAAGAGATTGAGGCCGAGGCTCAAGGAACCAAGGCTCCTAAGAAGGAGACCAGGGACGAATCTAAGGCCAAGGACGACACCAAAGATGACTCTAAGGACACCAAGGAGGACAAGTCAAAGGACGAACCCCAAATTCCCCAGAAGAAGCTCGCCAAGAGCAACGACTGGAGTGGTTACTTGAACAAGACCGAAGAGACAGGCATGAAGGAATGTTTCCTGGATGTTGATGGCACAGTCCGAGTCCCTCAACTGCGATACTACAAGGGCCGTCCCCAAGGCTTCCCCGAGCACGCCATTGGATCCTACGAGACCCTGGATCTGCCCGAGGACATTTGCTTTGATCGTTACGGCCGCTATGGTCCCTACGGATTCGGCTACTCCTCACGCAACGGTGGTCTCAGCGTTGGTGAGCATGGCCAGAAGGAGGGTTCAGATGCTGTCTGGGAAAACACACCTCGCGTGGATTACCGACAGATTGACTGGGCTGATGTTCAGCGACGTTGCTTCAAGACCAACCAAGCTCGCTTCAAGGAGTTGCCTGATAAGACTCAGACTCCTCACGGTTTCTTCGCCTATGAGCCTAAGCCTAAGGCCCTCCCTAGCTCTACCCTCGCGCGCCGGGGTGTTGAAGAGGAGAAGCCTAAGACCGGAAAGGAAACTGCTACCCCTAAGGTCGAAACTGCAAAGACACAAGAGGCTCAGCCTAAACAGACTAGTTCTGAGGAGATCAAATCTAAGGCCCAAGAGCCAAAGACTGCCGAGTCCAAGGTTGGAAGCTCAAAGGCTGAAGCAACCAAGGCTGCAACACTCAAGCCTGAACAATCTGTTACCAAGGAGTCTCGACCTGAGAAGCCCAAATCCGACAACACTGAGACCGAGTCCCAGGATACTGAGGAGCCAGAAGCTCCCAAGGTCGAGTCACCCAAGGCCTCTGGAGGATTGTCACGAACAGCCGTCGTCGTGCGCTGCTGGGACGAATACAACTGGCGCGAGGATGACATTGCTCACCTTCGATCTCTCATCACCGAACTTGCTGTGACCTCTGGTGGACGTTACGATATCCACCTGCTTGTCCAGGTCAAGAATGAAGCCGCCCACCCTGTGTGGGCAGACGAGAGAATCTACCAGGAACGCATTGAAGAGTCTATCCCTGAGGAGTTCCGAGGCCTCGTGACTCTCTGGTCAGAGACTCAGATGCTTGCTCTTTACCAGGGTATCTACGACCACTTTACTCGTGGTCCCGATCTGCCCGTTCACGGTGTCTACCGCGGTCTCTCCATGGCTATGCAATACTTCGCCCACAAGCACCCTGAGTACGACTACTTCTGGCAGTGGGAGATGGATGTGCGCTACACTGGCCACTACCACGATCTCTTCAGCAAGCTTGAGAACTGGTCCAAGGCTCAGCCCCGTAAGGGTCTCTGGGAGCGCAACTCTCGCTTCTACTTCCCCAGCATCCACGGTAGCTGGGAGGATTTCTCGCAGATGTCTCGTGTTCAGAGCCAGATGGGAACTGTTAGTGCTGACAACGTCTGGAAGGGTGTTCCTGGCTTTGATGGCAAGACTCCTGACCACGATACCAAAGGCCACCGCACTGTTTGGGGACCTCTTCGCCCCAAGGACGATGATGATTGGTTTGAGCCTGGCAATGATCCCGTTGCTCCTACATCTTATGAGAAGGATCACTACCAGTGGGGTGTTGGTGAGGAAGCCGACTACATTGCGCTCAACCCTATCTTCAACCCTGACGGTACAACTTGGGGCCTCAAGGATGATATCACTGGTTTCAACCGATCAGACGGACTCCCCCCTCGCCGCGCCAACATCATCACCACTGCGCGTATGTCTCGCCGCCTGTTGACGACCATGCACAAGATGACTGCTTTCAAGAAGCAATTCGCCTTCCCTGAAATGTGGCCTGCCACTGTTGCTCTCCAGCACGGCTACAAGGCTGTCTCCGTCCCTCACCCAGTTTATGTCGACAGAGCCTGGCCCCCTGCCTACATGGCCCAGGTCTTCAACAACGGCCGAGATGGCACAAGCGGTGGTTCTCGCACCAGCATCTTTGGTGACCGCGAGCACAACATGCACGGTCTCTCCTGGTTCTACAACTCAGGCTTTGCACCCAACATGTACCGTCGCTGGCTGGGTCTCCGAGTCAACAACGATGGCGGCGAGGAGTTTGAGGGTACTGAAGACAAGAGCAAGAAGGGTAAGGGAGTCGGCAATATGCGTGGTGGTGAGGGCAGAATGTGCCTGCCTCCTATGCTGCTACATCCCGTCAAGGATGTTGAGTTGCCTGTTGAAGCTCCAGAAGCTGATGCTGAGCAGGGTAAAGCTCCCGCATCTGATCCTGGAGCCTAAGTCTCCCTTTCCCTTTTCTGCATAGAGGACTCGATGAGTCATTGTACGGCGTTTTGAGGTTTTGCTTTTCTGGTGTTTTATAATGGGTTCATGTCCTGCCATGTATGCGATGAAATATGTCAACGGAATGATAATGACTGTTCAAGCTGCCAGGCACTGTAGTATATATGGCTACGTATCTTTTGGGTACTTGGATTTAGACTGGGATGGTTAAATAATGAACATGCTATTTCATAAAGATATGAAGATTTGTCTACAGTGAACACTTGAAACTCCTGCACTAGATTTCTCTCCCTAACTGCATGATCTCGTCCAAATCATAGTGGTATTTGGCTTAACGTAAAATGTTTTATACATGCCTTACTGTCACATTTGCGCAGATTCTAGCTGCTCTTTTGTATGATCATTTCATCCAACCCGAAGCTCCAAGTTTTACGCCGGCATATCCTTCGCAAATGCGACGTGAAAACAAATAGCGATTATCCGGGCAATTCTCCATGTCGGCCCCTTTTCTCATATCATCGCATAAGCTTGAACGGTCCCTTAAACCACGCGCTTGACCTCGAAGAAGCGTCGCAGCCACCAGACCTGGAAGAGAGACTCGCCGATGACGACACCAATAACGAACATGTTCCACCATTTGACTCGGCTGTTTGTGCTCTCGGCGGTGTTTCGGTGGGTGCGCTCACGCATGACGATATACTCTTGTTCGTCCTTGACTTGGGCAAGGAGGTCGGACAGCTTACGGACTGAAAGGAAGTTAGTGACCGCATTGAAATCTTGCAGAAGGGAGAAGAAATTACCTTCACGATCGAGGGGGTCGGCGGGCATCTCATGCTCGCTCACGTAGACAATTCCGTGGACGTTGAAGGAGACCTCCTTGGTGTTGGCGGTCCAAGCCTCGTTACCAAAGCAGTAAACGTATTTTCCATCGTGCTTGGCTGTGAAAGAGTAGTCGCCGTTGGAGATACTCTTCTCGTTTGTCTCGTATTGACCAGTAGGGTTGGTGATCTGTCCAAGTTAGCGTCTTGTCTTGATACCCAGCAAGTACCTTCTTAGAACACATACCCAGAAATCGATATCGAGGTTGCCTGCGCTACCAAATTCACGATCGCCAACCTGGAAGGTAACGGTCATGGTGTCATCCTTGTGGAGGGTCTCGTGGAAGCATTCTCGACCGTGGGCAGGAAGAACGATGTTGTGAGCAGTGACAGCTGTGAAGACAGCGGCAGCCACGAGGGCCTTGGCCGCAGAGACGAAGTACATTATGGAGATGGGAGTCGAGGTCGGATATCGATTGATCGCTACAGCTTCGAAATGAACGTCGTGGTCGTTTTGCGATCCTACAGTGTTATCATGTCCCTGTTGGAGCTATACTGTCCACTAAAGTCAAGAATGGAGACAGGCTGTCGAACCGCAGCGAATTGACACCTTTCCGCTGCTAATTGGAGGGACAGGGGGCCTGTTGCTTGGTTGCTGTTGCGGCTCTCTTCCTGACTGGGCAGCCACGGTTTTGCCGAGCTTGAGACATGAGTTCCTGCCAGCTTGCAGCTTCTATTCTTACCAAAATTCACAAGCCAATCCCGCGTTCCCAAGTCTAAAAGGGGGAAAGTGGGTAAGCTTTGGTGAGGTGGGGCTATGTGGCTTGAGAGAGGGCATGCTAGGGATCAAGGTACCTGGAATTATCGTTTATCTGTCCTCGCGAATACCTCGTACCTTGAAAAGGGATGGGAGAGCGGGACCTGATTGCGCGGCATTCAAGCTTTTAATGTCTAGCATTGAGAAATGGAACACATTTCGAAAGATGGCCTTCGAAGGCTAACATAATACAATCATTTTTGAATATCCTTTCATAAACGTTGCCGAGAAATCAAACTTACCTAAAACCGTGCTCAATAAGAATCATTGATCAGAGCCTCCCGTCGCTCTCTTATCACGTACCCGCTTTAACGAGAATAAGTACCCGAGATCAGAGAGGTCACTGACCATGTGGCGGTGCAATTGCGTCTTCTGCCCCTCAGCTCTCCCTGTCCACTGCAACAATCCCCTGAAATTCAATTGAAAACAGGCCCTGGGCTCCAGTATTCCCCCTGCAAGTAACCTGTAAACAGTCCAGTAACAGCGCTGGACGTTCACCAGCCTCAGCCCCGGTAGCAGAGCAGCCCGAGGCCAAGGAAAAAAAGACATGTCTCTCACCCCTCTCCCTAAAGAGTGATCCATTCTCACACCGACAAGTGCAAACCACACGACAGCGCCCACCCCCAATCCAGTCCATCCATATTATCCATCCATCCATCGTCGCTCGTCGTTTTTTCTGCACCACCACTCCAAGGACCGCCCCACGATCCAGTAAGTTCAGCGTCTTTCTGTATATTGTTTGAGTATCTTCAGATTCTGCTCTTTGCTGCCTGGCTATTCCCGATCCTCGTCTCGATGGCTTCGACAAGCTACGTCCGTCTCATGCTGTCGCCGCCCGATGATCCAGATTCGCCGCCATGCTATTCCCCCCGTTGATCCGCCTCGTGACGGCCTGAACCACCAATATCGACGTACAACATGGCATAGCTGGCTTCAATGGATTACGGCGGCAGCCTGGGACGACAGCGCTTACAAGCTCGAGCCTCTAGGACTTGGATGATGGTGACGATGGAGAGGCGTTAATGGATGAGCTCTTGATCGCTGCCTTGTTCATCAACTTAGGTGTCCTTTCGCGACACATAAAGCCATCCTGCCTCCACCATCACCAAACATCCAACCTCCTGTTCCTCCCTTAGCTAGACGTCTCCTGTATTCTGTCTCAGCCTTTGTCTCTTCCCTCTGAAACTCAAACTTGTCCCTATTATTTTTACCTTATACCCCTCGCACGCAGCAAAGTCCCTCGCCACGTCTTCTTTCAACTTTCATCTCCAGCATCGCTGACCTTGCGCCTCCGCCTTTAGGACCTTTACTCTATCCCTAGAAACACAGGCTCGTAGCCGTAAACCGCAATCATGGGTCTCGCCTTTTCAAAGCTTTTCGACCGTCTGTGGGGGAAGAAGGAGATGCGAATTCTGATGGTTGGTCTTGATGCCGCCGGTAAAACCACCATCCTCTACAAGCTCAAGCTTGGTGAGATCGTCACCACCATTCCCACCATCGGTATGATACGCCTCGAATCCCTCAAACCGGCCAATATCGCTGACATCTATCTCTTAACCAGGTTTCAACGTCGAGACCGTCGAGTACAAGAACATTCAATTCACCGTGTGGGATGTCGGTGGTCAGGACAAGATCCGTCCTCTGTGGAGACATTACTTCCAGAACACTCAGGGTATCATCTTCGTCGTCGACTCGAACGATCGCGACCGTATTGTTGAGGCCCGAGAGGAGCTCCAGCGCATGCTTAACGAGGACGAGCTCCGTGATGCTATCCTCCTTGTCTTCGCCAACAAGCAGGATCTTCCCGTACGTCACGACCCCACCTCAACATTTCGTTCCAAAATATTCCCCTCACCATGCTATTTGCCCGCGATATCATGATGCTAACGTTATGCTACAATTAGAACGCCATGAACGCCGCCGAGATCACAGACAAGCTTGGCCTCCACAGCCTGCGACAACGCGCCTGGGTAAGTGACGAACTTTTGATTTCTGGAATCCGGAGTCGACATCTCCATTCGTATGGTCACATGCTAATCTCTTACTTTTCTCTTTCAACAGTACATCCAGTCCACTTGTGCCACCTCAGGTGACGGTCTCTACGAGGGTCTCGAGTGGCTCGCCAACACCCTCCGAAAGGCGGGTCACCAGTAGAAAGATCGATGAGATACCTCTCTTAAAGAAACCCGCCTTTTTCTCCTGCTCTGCCACATACTCTCAAATGGCTCTTTGTGTCGACTCGAGGTTTCGGTTGTAATTTGCAAAGTTATCGGTCCAATCGAAGATAAATCCTTGAACCAAAGTCGCGTCTATTCACGTTTTCTGTTAAAGCAACATGTTTCTACGCTTCCTCCGTCTCTCAATGGTGCTTCACTGTGAGCCTCTCGGCCAACGTTTGTTTGCCATACGCCAGCGTCAGCTCGCCTCCCGAGGACCACAGAACGTACTTTCTTTTTTTCTTCTTGGAGGAAAAGTCGGGTGATGATGGGAGGCGTCTTATGAGAATCCCGGGATATTTGTACAGTCGTCAAATCGGGTGTCGTTTGTTTGAAAAAATGCATTCCTTGCAGATTTTACACGAATACTCTCGCAAACCGTGGCGCACTGATACATCTATCGGTTGTTGTTTTTTGTTTTCCATTTCCTTCCCGTGTCGCTTCAGGGAACATGACCATGATGAGCAACTCGAGTAACGAGGAGTAGAAACGAGGCATGAATTCAGGGCCACTGCGAGATGGGTTGTTGTAGAGATTCTATCTGTTTTATTCCATGCTTATACTTATATCGTAGTCCAGACTGGTGACTGAGTGACATGCGTAAGACCCAAGCTGAAAGGCCCACTTGGGGTACAGTTTCTTTTTGTATGCTCATACGTAGGCCAGTGTACAACACGACTGTGCTGCTGTGTCAACTAGATACAATATCCTACTTGCAGGTATTTTAAGAAGAGTACTACCGTTACGTAGTATGATAAGAAACATCCCAGCTCGGCTCACCTTGGACTACAACCTTATCAAACATCGCTTGGCATTATACAGATACCACATGCTACCATCTGACACAGTCCGATACCCCAAGAGTAGGTCATCATACTGAAACTGACAAAGCTTCGGGGCGCTTTTGGAATTTTGGCAAAGCCCTAACCGGTATTCATATGGCCTTGTAGTTGACAGAATCTTATCAATTATGCTTTAAAGTTGAGTGCGTATTCATTAGATAGAGTTCTAGATACATTCTATAATTATGCTGAGATGGGTATGCAGTATGCTATTATGATACAGAAGAATTTACAAATTAGACGTGAAACACATAAACTCATTAAACAATATCCCAGACAGTTTTGTCATCAGAGCTGCTTTACTCCTCCTTGGGCTTCTCCTCGTGCTTGACGGCAATTTCCAAGCCCTCCTTGTCCTCGCGAATCTTGACCTCGGCTGTCTCTCCCATCTTCAACTGACCCCTGATAATCTGGTCTGCCAAGCCGTTACCGATCTCGTTGGTGATGAGTCGGTTAAGAGGACGGGCGCCGAACTTAGGGTCGTAGCCACGCTCTGCAAGCCAGTCTCGGACATCGTTGGGAACAGAGAGTACAATACGACGATCGTCGAGGCGCTGCTGGAGCTCCTTGAGACGGATGTCGACAATGTCTCGAATGGCGCTGAGGGCGAGACGCTTGAAGACGATGAAGGAGTCGATTCGGTTAAGGAACTCGGGTGGGTAAGCGGAAGCGACGACATCCATGACGGCCTTGCGGACGGATGGGTCAATCTCGCCATCAGCTGTTTCGCTATAGGGGTGGAGGTGGTTCTGGCCAACGAGGATGTCGGCACCCAGGTTAGATGTCAGAACGATTATAGTGTTCTTGAAGTCGACCTTGTGGCCTTGAGCGTCGGTAAGGTAACCCTCATCAAGGACTTGAAGGAGTAGAGCAGAGATGTCGCGGTGTGCCTTCTCAAACTCATCGAAGAGAAGGACAGCGTAAGGCTTACGGCGGACAGCTTCGGTCAGTTGACCAGCATCATCGTAGCCAACGTAACCAGATGGCGCACCGATAAGTCGAGAGATGGTATGCTTCTCCTGGAACTCAGACATATCGAAGCGAACAACTGCAGATTCTGTCGAAAACAGGAATCCTGCAAGCTTCTTGCAGAGCTCTGTCTTACCTACACCAGTAGGACCCAGGAAGAAGAAAGAAGCCAAAGGCTTGTTCTCGCCACTCAGGCCAGCTCGCTGGAGACGGACTGCGTCGGAGACAGCCTTGATAGCTTCATCTTGACCCTTGACTGCCTGGCTGAGAGAGTCTTCCATGTGCACCAGCTTTTCGATATGGCCCGAAGTGAGCTTGGACACGGGAATGCCCGTAATACGGGAGACGACATTGGCAATATCGTCTGGGCTGACTGAATCGTGGATGAGAGCGTCACTAGACTTTGACTCTTTGGTCTCTCCCTCCTTGGGCAACTTCTGCTCAAGGTCGGGAATGACACCGAATCTCAGCTCGGAGGCACGACCAAAGTTACCTTCTCGTTGAGCCTGCTCGAGTTCGAACTTGGCCTTGTCGAGATCTTCTTGGATCTTCTTGACCGACTCGATCTCGGCACGCTCCTTTTCCCAGCGCTCGTTAAGCTCAGAGATTTCCTCGTTGAGTTTTTTGAGGTCATTCTCAAGCTTCTCACGGCGCTCTTTGCTTGCCACATCGGATTCCTTCCTCAAACTCTCAAGCTCAATCTGGATGGTCATGATCTTATGGTCAAGGCGCATGATGTCTTCAGGCTTGGACTCATGCTGCAGCTTGAGGTGACTGGCAGCTTCGTCCATAAGATCAATTGCCTTGTCTGGAAGGAAGCGATCGGTGATGTAACGGTTAGATAGAGTTGCGGCAGCCACCAAAGCACCATCTGTGATTCGTACACCATGGTGGACTTCGTACTTGTCTTTGATACCTCGGAGAATACTAATGGTGTCCTCCACAGAGGGTTCGCTGACAATGATAGGTTGGAATCGTCGTGCCAGGGCAACATCCTTCTCGATCTGACGATACTCATTAAGGGTTGTTGCGCCACAGCATTGGAGTTCGCCACGGGCTAGAGCAGGCTTCAAGAGGTTCGAGGCATCAATGGAGCCTTCGGCCTTTCCAAGACCAAGGAGGGTATGCAATTCATCGATGAATAGAATGACTTCTCCCTGCGCCTGCTCAACTTCTGTCAAGACCTTTTTGAGTCTTTCTTCAAAGTCTCCTCTAAACTTGGCACCTGCGATTAGAGAACCAAGGTCAAGGCTGATGACTCTCTTGTTCTTGATACTCTCGGGAACGTCGCCACGGACAATACGAAGGGCAAGACCCTCGAGAATTGCTGTCTTTCCAGTTCCAGCATTACCGATAAGGACTGGGTTGTTCTTGGTACGTCTTGAAAGAATTTGGATAGTTCGCTGGATCTCTGCATCTCTTCCAATAACAGGATCAAGTTTGCCATCCTTGGCTCGAGCAGTCAGGTCGACACCAAATTGTTCCAGGGCAGGCTTTTCTTCCTCACCACTCATATTCATGCGGTGAGTGCCGCCTGGAGGATGAGGTCGACCATTGGCATATGTTCTGACTGCAATACTTGGAATCAAACGTAGGGATGTTGGCCTTAAAGGTTGTGTTGCGAGTACTCGTGTAAGTGGCCTGGCTGATCGAGTCCTGGCACTAGCAGCCATGCGCTGCGTTGAAGTGATTAGTTGCCTTCGCGCCTGCATGATGGACACTTGTGAATAGCAATACAATAAAATTGTAAAAGAGCGATTGAAAGAAAGAAAAGGGAATCAAAATCAAAGATTTCTTCGACAGTCGGGAGACCTCTAATTATCTACAAATTCGAGCCCTCGGCTACACTTCTTCATGACGCCTGGAGCATTTTCTCGTAGCTTCCAGTTCCGTCATCGGCAGGCCTGGAAGCTGGCACTAACAGCTGATAAGATAAGCGTTTGGAGCTAACCTCCTATCGCATCAATCATGTGATATTTTTGTCTCTCAGGGCTTGTGGAAAGAGCGAAAGAGTGGGGATTACGACACGAATTTTGATTGGGCTATCGAACCGGCGAGGGTTCACATTTTCCCACAAACTCTAGCGGCTTTCACAGAATTCTATCATTTTGGGCGCACTCATCAACACCAAGTGTCTTCCTTTCCTTCACCACCCAACCCCAAGTCAACCAGCCAGGAGAGTCACAATGTCGGCGAAGCCTACGAGCAAGACCTTCGGAAAGTCGACCCGAGACGTGGTCGCAGCAGAGGATAAGGCCAAGAAGTGGTATCCCGCTGACGATGATGCCGAGAGCAAGAAGGTGAGTCTTTGGTGATGTGATGTGTTTGCAGGCAGTTGCAAAGTGTTTTGGACAAGCGACCGCGCGGTCCGGTTGAGGATATGGAACGCGAATTGAGAGATATCGACTTTCGGTGTACGACTGGCAGTTCAACGCCCAAGCGCAAAGGAGGAAAGCATGATGGGACGACCTTCGCCTGCGACATGTTATGAGGCTACGATACGAACGCACACAACCGTACACACAAAATTGCGACAAACATCGAATGGCGATCACACAAACACGCACACTTCAAGCAACTGCCTGCTCAGCACTGTTCAGTATAACCAAGCATCAGTCTGCTAACAGTGGAAAATCACAGGTTCGCAAGGCTGTCCGATCTTGGACTCCTCGCAAGTCCCTTCAACCCGGTACTGTCCTCATCCTCCTCGCTGGCCGCTTCCGTGGCAAGCGTGTCATCCTCCTGAAGTCCCTCGACCAGGGTGTCCTCCTCGTCACCGGCCCCTTCAAGATCAACGGTGTCCCTCTCCGACGAGTCAACTCCCGATACGTCATCGCCACCTCTTACAAGGTCGACATCTCCGGCCTCGACGAGAAGAAGATTGAGGAGATCTCTCAGCCCAAGTACTTCACCGCCGAGAAGGCCAAGGAGAAGGCTGGTGAGGAGGCTTTCTTCAAGCAGGGAGAGAAGCCCCAGGTACGACTTTCCAATCCTTTTACGACATGTGTGAACAGAGATCAGAATACTGACTGCCGATTACAGAAGAAGGAGGTCAACAGCAGCCGCGCCGCCGACCAGAAGGCTATCGACAAGGCTCTGATTGCCAACATCAAGAAGGTTGATATGCTGGCTTCTTACCTCTCTTCCTCTTTCAGCTTGAGGAAGGGTGACAAGCCCCACGAGATGGCCTGGTAAATGTGCAATCTTGTGCCGGGGTGATGGGAGTACCGGGGTTGCGACACAAAGGGTTGTAGAACGGCAAGGGTCTCCGAAATGGGCTGGTTTGGCCAATTGCATTTGAAAGTCGACGGGCATCGGTCACATTTTGGCGTCTGTAATCAGGTTTTACAGTCAAAAAACAAACGAGCATACAAAATTCTAGAGGCTTCCGGTGAGAGGCCGATGATGATGAACTTCACTCGGATGTCCCATCTCCTGGGTGAAAAAACAACTGGTGTGAGCGATCATGGTCTTTTCCGGTCTGAACTGGTCAAAAATGGACATTGTTTTACGAATCATAAAAAAAGTTTCAATAATTGTGTGTGGATTGTTCCGTTGACATGTCACCTACTTTGGGTAGACTCTCTTCACCATGACATCAATCGTCATCTATTCTGTATGTTTCTCTAATGTACAGCATATATAGCCAACGTGGTCACTGGCTTCATGATGCTAAATTCACAGGTCGCGCTCTACCCAACTCTGGACCATGCCGGCCAATGAGGCTTCGTAGTGCTTGATAGAGACCTTTCCAGATGATTCATCCAGAGAGGTGTTGGCCTGGACAAAGACCTTGCGAGGCTGCTTGTTCTTGAGAACAATATCGCGAACCTTCTTGCCCCAGAAGTCAGGGTCGACGGTTGTCATGTGGACATAGAAGTCGGTGCCCGTCTTGACATCAGCAGTCGACTTGTAGATGTGAAGCTTCTGGAGATACTTGGCAACAGCTGTTGACTTGTTAGCTTTTATTAGGGACCCTCGAAGTGGGCAGGTACATACCATCTCGACCAGCTGTGAGGATCTTGGAGCGATCGAGCTTGATGGTCAGGTCTGAAAGGTCATCTTGCTTGTAGTCGAGCTTGCAGAAATCATCCTCAGCCTCAAGGAAGCACTTGAGGATGGAGAAGCGGGCTTGGCTGTGAGCCTGTCCCCATTTCTGGCTCTTGGGGTCCCACATCTCCAGTGAAGCAAGTCCAGCTCGGGCCATGGACAGATAGGAGGCGAACAAAACATCGCCAGCCTCACTGCTCATGTCCTCGGAACCATCGCCGAAGCCAAAGATCTTGAGAACAGGGAACTCGCAGCTCAGGTGCATGGCAACAAGTTCAGCACGGCACTCCTCGTATGAGGCAGCAATGCTACCGAAGACGGAGCCCCAAGTCTGACCGGGCTTGTACCATGTTGCGATAGGCTTGTTGTCGACAGGGCTGACGGGAGGGTTCTCCTTATCGAAGTTGAAGGTGCCTGGGGAAGTCTCCTGAAGGAGCTTACCGCAACCGTGACCTGATGTGCGTAAGTAAGGATAGTCAAATAGCATATTGGAGTCCTTTACATACCGGTAAGCTCATGAAGACCAACCTGGACCTCGAAAGAAGCATCGCGCTGCTTCTTGTAGACCTCGAGATCCTCATCACGGATAAAGGGGATCTTCTCATCAGGAGCCTTGGCACTCAACACATTGCCGAGCGACACGTTCTTGAAACCCTCGGTCTGACGAATGTCATCGTAGTTGGGGCTGCAGATCGTAAGCGATTGATGTCTTGCCACAATACACAGATCAAGAACTTACATGTTGATACCAGCGGGGATACCGGAGCCTTTATCTTTGTTAATATCATCAATCGCACATATACAAACTACACCACTCACCAGCAAATGTCATAACCTCAAGAGAAGTGAAATCGGGAGACAGGAACTTGTCCTTCTCAAAGTCGGCACCCCAGGGCAGAAGGGGAATAAGCTTGGGAGCCTTCTCCACGAGCTCACCAAAGGCACGAGTCCGCTCCACTAATTAGCTATTAGCGAAATACCGACCATGTAGTACAAGTAATTCTTACAGTTAACCACTATATAGTTGTTAGCAAACTCGTGCAAAGCCTGTCATGTCAGGGTACTTACTAGATGCGAAACCTTCCCACTCTCCGCGGATACCAGCAGGGTCACGGTAAGTCTCAATAAATCCAATGTTAGACTCAACCATAGGTCCCTTGTCCTTGATCCAGTATCTTTGACTGTTCTTGAAGTCTTCCAAAGAACCAGTCTCGAAAGACTTGCTGTAAGCCTCATGCATCTTCTTTTGGGTGTCGTTCTCAGCGTTCTCAGCAGCACCGTTGATGAAAGCGGTGATATTCTTCATCTCCTCAGCGTAGTCACCGTAGACTAGCTTGATAGCCTTGCCCTTTAGAGCTCCATCTTCGACCGTGAACTCAGTCTGCTTACCAATATCACCTCCGTTGCTGGGGATTTCCTTAACGGCGGAGGCGATCAGGATTTCAAAGTTGCCATCAGAGGTCTTGCGAAGACGGTTGTTCTCGGGGAGCAGACCCTTGGACTCCATCCAGCCTGAGACGGCCTTGATATCGTCTTTGGTGATGTGGGAGGACTCGGGGTAGTAAGTAGTCATGTGTCCATCATCAGGGTAGCCCAGGTGCATCATGGCAGGGTTGTCAGAGCTGAAGATACCACCCTTGGTGGCCTCGTAGAACTTCTGGGCCTCAGGGGAGGTGGCAGCAAGAGCAGCGACAGTCTTCTCGGAGCAGCGAGGAATGAACTTGGAGTCACCGAAGCTCTTGTAGTTGCCATTGTTGCCGAGAAACATGGCAGCGTACTCGAGGAAGCGAGTAGCCTCTTCCTCCTCAACACCGGCCTTCTTGGCCAATGCATTCCAATCGCCATTTGCAGACTTGTGTAGAGACAGAATCAAGTCAAAGATGGGCTCAGACTCGGGGGAGATCTGTCGAAGGACAATTCTGGTACCGGCGAAAGCAGCTCTATGATGATGCGTTAGCACTGAGCCACACGACCCCTCCTCATAAGCAAGCATGAGTTGCCCCTCATTTCAGAATGTGCAAGCTCGACATTGACTTATACAAGGCCAAAACACAGAAGAAAACTTACTTGCTGATGTAGTGAGCATAACGCTTCTGCTTATCGTTCAATGCCTCAAAGTGCTTCTCAATCTCGAGCCTGACAACCGAAGGAGGCTTGTCGGCGAGGTAGTGAACCAGCTCGTTGGAGTTCATGACGATGGCAGAGGTTGAAAATCTGTTGAGGCTCTGACGATTGAAGGATTTTGTAAAGTTGGGAATGGTCCGTCGGGAGTGTCTCAAAGCTGCTGTTCTTAGCGAAGGCAGTCTTTGAAGAACAAGAGACGGTGAGATTGAGTTGAGAGGAGGCATGCGTGACTGCCGTTTGACGTTTTTGGGTCACGTCGGCCAATGGATCTTTATTCTCTGGGGACAAACACAGCTTCCTAAACGTGTTAAGGCGGCAAATGGAAGGTGCAGAGCTTCTTTCCTATAGCGGCTAGCGAGCTGTGCACAGAACCCCATCATGACACCACATGAGTGAGGGGTTCAGTCAGTGATGAGTGATGTTTCAAGTCAAATATTATTGAAATGCTGTCGATGAATATCAATACATGAATGAAGAAGTGTGAGTTTCAATCCAGTTCATTGTTTACTCTGATTTGCCCTTGATCCTATACCAATGCTTGTCTGGGTAGTGCAGAAGTCACTGTGTGAAAGACCGAAAATTACTCACATGGCAGCTTTCAACCACCTGCCTCATTATCATGAAGTCCAACATAAAAGGCAATTGCTCAATTGTCGCCTGCCAGCCACCGTGCCTGCCTACCTATCCTGATATTTTTATGCTTGGAAATAGTGTATGGGCTTAGTCATGCTTCATACTTGATTGTTTCGAGATGATCTGAATTCTCAAGCTGACAACGATAGTATTGTCAAAACAATGTTGCCTGTTGCCGTGATAACCGCTATGCTCTGGGAGGATAAAACATAAAGATATCGGGAGATGCTTTGCCAATTGACTCACTGGAGTCCGTTAGAGTAAGTCTCTTTTATCCTCACAGTAAAAAGAGCAATTACTGCCTTGAGTCTGAAGCCCTTGTATACCCTATATGTACAGAAATCTCCAAGTTACTCAACAGTGAAGGATGTTCACAACGGTTCGGTATTAACCACATCCAAAGTCCGAACACATCTCTATCCCGACCATGTCGGAATCAATAGACACCAGATATCATAGCTGCACTGGTGAAGGGAGTTGAAGCGAGCCGAACCGAAAAGACAAGCCGACTTTACATCCCCATACGATGCCACCCAAGGCTTAGACTAGAGGTTCTAGTGTACATGGACAGGCCTCATTTCAATGGTGCATAGGACCATGTGATGATCAGATATTGTCGAGCGTAAGCAGATGCATGTTGGTCAATGGCTATAGGTAAATCTCCATATTGGCCGTATACGTAGGGTAGACGTTATGCCCAGGTCTTGGATAGACCCGACAGTCCGGGCGAAGTGTAACAGCCAAGCCACAGACGGAAAATCACCTACAATTCGAACCCTTGAAGCAATTGATACCGGGAATATCATGATATGCAACTACTTTAAAGCGGTGTGGCGTTGTAAGATCTCACAGTCGCAGCCACGGGGAAGGATTCCAAGCCAAGCCTCGGATTGTGAGACGGTAGAGCAGCCGGTGTCGCCAACCGAGCCAGCCCTTCGGAATCTAATCTAGCCAACCCGACAGTGCGGGACGCCCGGGGGGTTGGGGTGACATGGATCGAGGTCTAAGACTTGGAGACACCAAGTCAAGTCAAGTTAATCAAGTCCGTTTATTCCGGGGAAGACTTTTGGCTGCCCCGAGTTGTTATACGATGTTGAGCATCTACTCTGAAAACTGGTATCGTGATAATTATTGTTGAGTAAACGCTTCATGCTTGGTTGTCGTGCAGAATTGATCCTTGGTCACATTGGGGGTATTGTTCATGATACAGCTGCTTTACAATACCCTCAGCAAGATGCCAGTTCTGTCTCAGAATCACCTCCCTGTGTTCAATTGACTCTTACTCGTGTTTGAATTCCTTCTTCTTCGCGTCGGAAATGAAGTCCTGGTTAGAATTTATTGTCAATGCTCTCTTTGAATTGCAGTTGTCCACCTGACCTTTTCTGCCCCCACGCTACTACTCCACACTTTACACTACCGCAGTTCTCTCCTGGTGGCTTTTTCCGTTCCTGTGAGGCTCGAATAGATCGCGACGTTACATCTCAACTAAGTTGGACTTATAACAAGATCGTACCTGGCTAAAGATTGACTCTGTCCGATATTGAATGCCTGTGATGTGGTAATAAGTGGCTCGGCTTTACTGTGCCTGCTGGTCCAAGTTCTTAGTTTGCTACAATTGCAGGAATATTTAGCTGGGGCCCCCTTTACAAAGCGAGACGAGGATAGACGAGATGTTGATTGTCAGTGTAACTGTGACCAGGTCATAGCGGGCAGTATATTTAGAATAGACCCATCTTTGGAACATTCGAAGAAGAAATCGTCAATATATATGGATCTCAAGGTCGAGTATCACCCTGGGATAATAGGCCGAGAATGACAACTGTCAACCTGCGGGTAATATCTTTGCTGATACAGGTAACAGTAAGAGGCATCTGAATTATCAATCAAACCAATTCAATTCAATTCAACGTTATCTCTGGTCAGACTTGTCAGACTGAGATGGGATCTCGGACCTGAGTACAGGGAGTCTTTATCCGTAGGGTCAGACCGGATAAGTGCTGACCCATTATATTCTAGTTGTAGGCTTTTTATCTACTGGCAATAGACTGTCCAAGATAACTCATATCCTTGCTTGAGAGAATTACTTCTTTCAGATAGCTCTCGGGACTTGCATTTGAGAACTTGACGTTGGTTGCTGGCGGATGGGCGGCTAAAGACGTCGAGCAGTAATTAAATTAGTCGGAAACTCCGCGCAAGGATTGATTTTTCTTTCCGGGGAGCATAAAGGTGTAGATCCGCCCCTGTTTTGCTTGTAGTAACATCTGTGTACTCGCGTCGCCTCGCATTAGAGAATCAGCGCAATGCCAATGCAGAGCCGATGATGTACAGTACACTAGGTAGTGCATAACTCTTGACGATCTTCTTCAATGATGTTTTATGTATGTGGGAAAATTTCAAAGGGACGTGCTAAGAGGCCTCGTGACCTCACCATCCCATATTAACGGGAGAGTGACAGGGACTGGGTGAGATGGAATTTGGGGTTCAGACTTTCATCATCATCGTGTCCCACAGCGAGCGTCATGGGCCCTACTCCTCACCAATCTCTTGTCTTTTCCCCTGACAGCTTTTTGGTTCTCTAGACTCTACCTAGTTGGAGTCCACTCACATCCACAGCCATGCTTTCACTAGAAGAGTCAAAATATTGTGATACTGTAACTGCAAACTGCAACTGCAACTGCAGGTCTATCCCATCAAGGAAGAAATGTCCGGACCCGAGAGTCTAGGTGACCTTTTCGGGTTCAACCAATTACCCTCCAATGCTAGCCACCCTCTCTGACAGCAAATGCCCTGGAGTCAAAAGACTAGGTACATTGCCCAGCGGGTGACAGTCACCCCCCGGGCCCATTTCACTACACCCATGCCCCCACGCCACCCTATGGAACAAGAACCGACAGTGGAGGTCTTCCAAAGTTTCGTGCCTGTCACGGCCTTCTCCCCGGTTCTCCTTGAGCCTGAATTTGAAAGGCCCAGGGAACGGAACTTGGCTTAACATCAGCTATGACTTGTACTGCCTGTAGTTAAGGCTTATATAGATCCCCCTCTAGCCCCCGTGTGTCCTTGCTGCTTCACTGATCTTTTTGGCACTTTTTGTCTGTTTACTTTGCTCACTTGTGCTCTTCTCTTGATTTACAGTAACGAATATCATACATTCATACATTCACACATCCGTTCTCAACATAAACTGTACACCTCGTTACTACGTCTACGTCATTGCTCTGACCTTTTATCACTGCTGCCACTGGATTCTCAGTATTGGATCATAGGTGTATCCGTATCCTGGGACTATTTATTCTACAACAAGGCGTCTGTCCATCCACTTATAAACGAGCAACACTCTACTCAATATCTCGATACAATTTAACAACTCATCAAAAGTCGATTCGAATTTTTAAAAGACTGCTCGAAAATGCTCACCTACAATTCTACGCCAATGCCCCTCAAGGCTACTACAAAACCAGTATCCATCACTTTGTCGCCCACCACTTCGTCACCAATGACGGCAGCAACCCCGTCCCTCAACTCGGCCGCCATCAACGGCCACAAGACTCAAGGACAACAACACATCTGGCTGGTTACGGGCCCTGCTGGATGTGGAAAGACAACTGTCGCTGAGTATTTGGCCAAGTCATTGGGTATGCCTTATATTGAGGGTGATTCTGTACGTATATTCTCTACTCACATCGCATATCATTACTAACATTTATAGTTCCACCCTCCCGCCAACATTGAAAAAATGGCAAATGGTATCCCCCTGACTGACGAGGATCGATGGGACTGGCTCACTGCCCTAAGAGAAGAATCAATCAACCGCTTAAACGCTGGGTCATGTGGTGTCGTCCTCACCTGCTCGGCCCTCAAGCGCAAGTACCGCGACGTCATCCGTGTCGCTGGTTACTACGATCGTCGCATCCAAATCCACTTCGTCTTCCTCGACGCCTCTGAAGAGCTTCTACTCGCTCGTGTCACACAAAGACAGAACCATTACATGGGCGCAAACATGGTGCACAGTCAATTCGATATCCTGGAGCGACCTTTGTCCGACGAGAAGGACGTTATCACCATCGATGTCAGCCGGCCTATCGAGGAGGTTGAGCAAGAAGCTCTAAGCAATGTGTTGGAAACCATGGCCAAGTCTCAAGACAAGCTATGAAACAAGTTACAGCCTTGATTGATACATGACCTCCAACAACATTCACCGACCATCTTACTTACACCACACAATACACCCGCCACCTTCCAACGTTATGCGAAAATTATCATCGAGCAGGGAGTCAAAGCGTTACACGGCTATTTGCATTCAGGATTTCGGAGTTTAATACTTTTATTTACACTTTTTTACTTTTACACGGCGTTAAAAGTCTTGTCAGTTTGCCTACACATCATCTGTCGACTTTCCGGTGTGGCGCGGCAAAGACAAGGGAATGGACAGGGACAA